GAATGGTATAGAAGGATGAAAATGAATCAAAAAGCTAGAAATTAATGAGCAGTTAATAAGTGCTACTGAACTCTAGATAAAGTGTCTCATGTAATGTTCATAATAACAAGCTTGAGCTAGATGCGTAAGCCATTTTTACCAATGAAATCAATCTGAAGTGAAAATGATTTAGCTACAACACCTGTGAGTGGGCCACTTCAATTTTGAACCCTGGTAGCCTGACTACAAAGCCATTGCATTTCATCATCACAACAATGCGCTTTCTACCATGCCAGGGACTATAAGAGTTTATGAGGTGCATAAAATGGAACACATGCCCTGAAAGAATTTACAATCTGAGAATGGAATTGTGATGCGCACTAAAATTCATAGGCTGTAGGGGGAAATGGTATGATTATTGTTCTTAGAATTGGGGAAAAGGAGATCATAAGAGGGGAGCCTGTGGTTGTGTAGATTTCTTATTTCGATAAGCACTGAGAAAATAAGAAACAAGCAAACATCAGAAAGGAAAACATGATCCGACATGGTCAAAGCACAGAATGTATTGATACATTTTCCAAATTCAATGCATATTGTTATCATTATCTGCCCATGTCACTTGAGGTGGATATTTAAAACTACTTTAAATGTACTCGATTGCCAGTTCAACTGATGAACCACAAACTCACATCATAACTTGAAGGATTCATCTCACCTCAAATCATTTTACCTCAAGCTCTAGGCTTGGTTCTTATTGAAATTATTTTCATAAACACACCTACACATACATAGTCTTACTGATTTGACTTTCAACTTATATTCTTTTGGTGGGAACAATTTGTGTGGAAATAAAGAGACATTGTTTAGTGAAAATTCTGAAATATGAAAACAGAGTACACTCTTTATATTTTTATTATCTAAACACAATGAAAAGGTAAACAGGATCAGTTTTGAATCTACAATACATAAAAATCTCAATTAGTTATGGTCTATTTGTGCATTCACTACAAACATTTGTTAACAAAACAGAATTTTCTAGTTTACTGGATAAATATACCAGAAGAAATTGCAGAATAATGTTGGGTTGCCAAGCAACCACAGTTCTACTCTCTCTTGTTTGTGATCAATCCGACTCATTCATCAAGCTTCCTAACATACTGCTGGAGAATTCCAACCAATTTGATTTTCCTAGGAAAATTATAGTGACTTTTGGTAACACAATAACACTTTCATTCTCAGAAGATAAACTTAGATGTTCTTTTGATCAAAGGCATGTGTTAATTCATTATTCTCTACATGGTGCTAATGAAAAAGCTATAATTAACTAACCACACGATTGCAATACACATACAATAAACGGTAGCAATTAGTAATGTTTAAAGTGTTAACCAGCCTCCAAAATTAGAAAATGCAGAATCTTTTAATAAATATATACAGAAAAGAGAAAGAACCATATCTAATTAAATTGAGAATTGTTTCCAGTCCCTCCCAAGGGGGAGGGAAGACACGTGATCTCCAAAATGTGAGAGATTTCACTTTAATAGCAGAGAAAATGGCTCAGTGCCAAGTCTACTTGTAGGTAGGCTCCCAGTGCTGGTGAATAAGGTAATCTTTTCTTTCAAAGAATCCTTAGCACAATATTTTCCAGGAATGAATAGAAAGAATATTATGCTTTCACTCATTAGCTGTGTTAACTTAGCATATTGTATGTAAATCACCATAATAATTGCATTCTCTTCAGACTGAATTACTTAGGATGAAGCTGTAATCAAAATGTTCATAATTGAAAATACAGTATTCTCAGAGTTGGTTTGAAAAAAAAAATCATGGAACACTGATTGAATCAGAAAATATAGTTCATCACTGCAAACAGCCTCTGTAGAAAGACAAGTTCATCCTCTTGATTACACCTTGACACGTTAATTAGTTTCCCAAATTCAGGGCTCAACACCCTCCAATCTGTCACGTTTTCTGCTGCTGCCCTTTGTCTGGTGTAATAAGCTTTTTCCAAGTGCATGGCTGCTCAGATTTTTAAAGGAAAACAGAAAACGGTGAAAAGTGAAATTTGTGTTTCCAGAGCAGATGACATTCTATCATAGTGTTGGCTGCAATCAATCATGGGGCAAAATAATTTCCAATAAATAGAACATTTAGTGCCAGAGCTCCTGGGAAACAATATGTAAATGATCACATGAATTTCAGACAAGCTGTCACACTAATTCCTCAAGGTCCCTTTTAAAGATGACATACAAACTGTGGAGGTGAATGCTGCCATGCTTACTGAGAAGCACTACTCTGCTCTTTGAACTGGTGCTCACAGTATTTATTTATTTATTTATTTTTTGGCCAATCATCTGTTCCTATATGACATGACTTCCTCTCTGTTACTTAATTTTCCTTTATCAGTTAAAACTAATAGGACAGTTCTTACTTATTTCCTCAGAAAAATGAACCAGGCTAGATTATTGCAACAAAGCAAGTTTAGGTCTGACATATTTCCTATCTCCAAATATTTCAGGAATAAATACAAAAGCAGGCCTCTATGCAGGTAATGTTTTTCTCAGTGAGATATATCTCAATAAAAAATTCAAAAAGATGTTTGAGGTAGTAGTTTCTACCTTAATTGTCTAAAATCTACCAAAATATACACATATTTTAGTAAGAAAATGCTTTTTAAAAGTTGATTTAAAACGAGTTGCCTAATTGGGAGGAGGCCATTAACATAAAGATACAAATACATTGTGCGTGATGTGAACTCCTGTTGTCCAGATAAGTAAAATTTATACAACCATGAAGCATTTGCAAGTAAGGAAGAGTTCTGTAAGTGTAAACACAAAATATGTGTTAATCTTCATAGTCCTATGCTTCTATGGAGAGATAGGTATGAGCATTTCCTGAATGAGATTCTAGTCAGCTGCTATAGCCAGTACCCACACCCATCTAGGAATGTCATCTCTCTCTATGTATCACATGGCAGTTTCTCAGGAACATTCAAATAATGGTAGCAGGACTTACTTTGGAGCACTGAAGACCACCAGAGGGAAGATTCAGTTAAGTATTAGATGCTATAGCCAAATTAAATTGTAAAAGCCATAGACAGGCACATCACAAAGAGACTGAAACTGAGACAAGCCCAACTACATCATGAGCAGTTGAGAGATGAGCTCAAATGCTAGATAGAAAATTGTGGAAGAAATTAGATTTTCTTATCGCCAGTTGTTTCTTGGGCCACTTTCTATCCTCTGTCCAGCACAGGACTCAGAGTCAATCTATTAACAACCACTCAGTTTTTCTCTTTCAATCTGCTGCAAACAAGATTTAAAAGTTGAACTTGATGTTAATAAATTTAATAGATGCTATTGTCTACAATTAGAAAACACAGAATTCTGCCCTGGATAACAGTGCCGAGAAACGACAATCTATCATATCTAATTTATTTGAGGATTAATTGTAATAGTAATACCATCAACAACAGCCAACTTCGGAATGATTGCTGTTCATTAGAGAAGGCAGTTAAACTGTCCACCTTGGATAATCTCAGTCCAATCTTCCAACTCAAAATGGGACGCATTGATACCTATTATTTCAAAGAGGGAAACTGAGGCAGGGAGTAAAGGACTCTGGTTCACACATCCCAGAGAAGGTAGAGCTGTAATTCCAAGGCAGGTGGGCACTCCAGGAGACTACCTTGAAGTACCTTCAAGAGTTACTTAGCTCAGCACCCAGGAGCACGGGCACGCGCTATCCCCCCCCTCCCCCAGCCTTCCAACAGGAGCGCGCTATTGTGCACACGCCTTCAGCTAGCTGCCACCCGCAGGCTCTTCGCAGTTCTGGCCAGCGGGGCGGTATTGATCGCCTTTCTCCCTGGGCTGAGTAAGGGGCTCCCTCCCCGCCCAGCCGCGCAGTGCCGCCCACACCTGCTTGTGCTTGGTGGCTAATCTGCACTCCCGCCCACCCTCTCGGCCCGACCTCAGACCACCTACCCAGCTCCCTCTCGGTGCTTTGGGCTCCAGTACCTGGACCGTGAAGCCGCTGCTCCTCCCGCCCCAGATTTTTCGCAGGAATTCCTCAGCCCTGCCCCTAGCTGAGAAAGTGAGGTTCTTAGCAGCCAAAAGGGAGTGGGGAATGGAGAGAGCGACGTTTCCCCCAGCCTCTCGGCTCCAATCCCAGCTTTCCAAATTAATCACTTGCTCCCTGCTCCCTCCCTATGCACACTTGCACTCAAGGGAGGGAAAAAAGAGAGAGAGAAAGACAGAGACAGAGAAAGAGGACAAGGAGAGACACAAAGAGGAAAAGGGGACTGTCCATGACTGGCATCCCCAGCTACCCCGGCTCCGCTACCAGGGAGCCATGGCAACCAGCGCTCCCCACCCGGGCCTGCCCTCTCGCCCCCACAGCGTTCTGTTGAGGTGAACTGCTGTGCCTCTCTATCTTTTCCCTAACCCGGCAGTTCTCAGATCGCTCATTCCAGGCTAGAGGCATTTGGGGATCGCTACTGCAATCAAGAATTGTCTGTAGAGACTAGCAGCTAGATAGGGGCTTTGGGGTCGGGGTGAGAGAATCTGGACCCCTAAGACCTGGTGTGAGAGACCTGTAGGACTCGCCCCCCACTCCCAGATGGCTACAATCTAGCCAGTGCATGCATCCTCTCCCGAGGGTAAGGAGGGGGCGGTGGCTATGTAGGAAGAAACAGGTCAGCCTACCGAAGGTTGAGAGCTTAAGGGTGCTGGAAGCCTGGTTACTACATCCACTGACCCGGAGCTGTCAAAAATCCAGCCCTAGCCACCTGCGGCGGTGCTAGGAAAGGCGGCGCCTCCCCTCAGGTTAGGGAAGGGACCTTGAGCCACTCCCATTTTGGGCAAGGATGGAGCCCCGGATTGTGCACCATTTCCCTTTCATAAGAGTTGCTCTTTCCCCAGGAGCAAGCCCTTGATGATTTCCCTCCACCTCGCTCAATGAGTTGGATAAAGGACAGGTTGAGAGAGCCCCATTCCTAGCAAGGCACGCGCAGATACACTCACCTGAGCCCACTCTGACGTCCGATCTGTCGGGTGTCTTCCCTTGGGGAAACTTCTCCTTAAGCTGGCTCACAGGGGCGGGCGAGAGGGAGTAGCAAGGTCCAGACCCTCTGGGCGGATCCAGGGGAGTTTCTAGTTGGGCGCTCTCCGCGGATCCACACCCTGGTCTGCCCACAGAGATTCCGTCTGTCCCCTCCTGCTGTTGGCACAGGTCTCCAGAAGGCTGGACCTGTTCGAGCTTGCACCGGTATCCACGCCCTCCTGCTAGAGACTGGCTCGCGCCTCTCCTCCGCTGTCCCCCGATCTTCTCTGCCACCCCTCACCCACAAGGCTTCTTTTCACTCCCTTTTACACAGTCTCCCTTGGGACAAGAGAGAGTTACAGGCTTTAGATTTTGGTTTTATGAAAAGCAGGGAACAAAGACAAAACTTTGCTTGTCGTTTACAACATCTCTAAGCCAAAAGAGGCAGGATTGCTGTGGGGTTCGCTTGCCAGCTAGAAACCAAAAAGAAACCCCTCCCCTCCACTCCCTCTCCCGCTCTTCCGCGTTCAGATTCCACACACAGGCTTCCCGTCTCTTTTACCCTTTGCTGCATGGTGGAATGGTGTGGTGCCTTGTACCTACCCCTTTTAAAAATGCCTTGCTGGTTTCACTTCATCATTTGGGGAAGGGGGGTGATGGGACTCTCAATTTAATTTACAAAAGAGCCATCTCCAGTAGCTGTCAAATCAATCAGAGCAGGCAGAAATTTAAAGCTCTTCTACTGATATCTAATGTACAGTTTGTGCCTCGCTACCATCTGTACTTCACCAAATCGGTCAGTGACATTATCTTATTTACTCTACTAATTCACTGCTATGGAATAAAGCTTTCTCTGCTCACTTCCTGTGCAGAAGCCCACTCTTGATGCTTTATTATTTTTTAACCAACAAACAGGATGTCTGTTTTAGGGATCCACTATAGGGAAGTTACAGACTTTGGCGCCTAACTGATGTACACACTCCTTCATTTTTCATGCACACATTGGTGGTATTTCCCAATGTGTTCACACACTATTGCTTAAAAAAGTCCTGTTGCATGTAAGTGCTCTTTGATGGTAATGGCATTACTGACTTCTAACTTTTACTCTGCTGAGGCTGTGAGATTGATCTTACAGTCCTGTTTTGTTCTCCTCTAGTGCACTAAACAATGAGGACATTTATTGCTGTGTGCTACCCTCAGAGTTGGATGCCACCGCAGGGATCAACAAGAAGTAAGGGGACTCAAGATGCTGCTTCAGAAGCACTTGCAACAAATATCGTGAAATGAATGAATGGGCTTTTCCATGTTCATAATTGATAACCTTGAGGCCTCAAATGCTGCCAGTTCGTGTGTGGGCACAATTCCTACTGCCTGTGCTGGCATATTACAAATGCAAGTGAGGGCAGGATGTGTCCTAGGTTTAAATTGTGCTACTGGAGTGATTCCTCTGCCTGAGGCATCATTATTCATGAGGCATGTTTTCTAAAGTAAAAACAAAGAAAATTGAAATAAATTCCAACAAGGAAAATACTGAGCCTGTAGGAAACCATTTCCAAGATTTAGGAGCCCCAAGAGAGACACAAAGCCAAGTTGGTCTCAAATTTACCACCTTCTGGGGTGGCATTTCCTGGGCAAAAAGCTGAGAACTCTGTTTTGGTGAGAGTAACAGAGAACTTTTAAAGACTCAGCTTTCCCTTCACTGGTATTTGTTTGCTGGACACAGTAAGATCATTAAATGAACAGGCAGATTATAGTTAATTAGATGGTAGAGAGATAAAAAGATGGATAGATAGAAAATAGGAACCCATATTTGAAGAAAGGGGAGGGAAAGGAGAGAGATACAGGCAATTCCCAATTTTCTCTGTGTTAGTAAACACTTTAGAAACTCAATAAGATCACATCTTTCTTTTTAGGTGAAATGCCCTAACCTGTTTTTCATAAGGGTTCTCATTACACACACACACACACACACACACACACACACACACACACACACACACACACACACACACTTCTGAGCCTTGGATACCACATAAAGCTGCATATAGATTAGAAACATTATTAATTGCCTGTAGCCAACTAGAAACAGTAATTAATTCAGCATATAGCAACTCACTTTACTCTAGGCAACCAAACTTTCAGAAAGAAAAAGGGAAAGAAAGTGTTTAGAGGAAGGGAGAGAGGGAAGGAAGGAGGAAAGGAAGGAAATACAGAGGGAGGGAATGAGGACAAATGATGAACTAAGAAAGAACAAGACTCTTTTTCAGTGGTGTGCTCAGTAGAAGCAGGTGCCTTTAACTATCTGTACCCAAGAAGTATTCATAGCCATGTCTGTAGCAGGATTTCATTTTTTTGGGGGAGGGGGGGTTGTACTAACCAGCTCCCAAATCATGACACAGAGAGTTATTATTAGTTTTTGAATGCTCGGCCTTAGCTTAGACTTGTTTCTTGCTAGCTCTTATAATTTAACCTGTTTCTCTACATCTATGTTTTGCCTTAGGGCTTTTTCCCTTTCTTTCCTTCTGTATATCTTCCTTTCCTGCTGCCTTCCTGTCTGGCTGAAGGCTACCTGGCTTCTGTATGTGTTCCTCTCTTTCTCCCGTGTTCTCTTCTTCTGTCTTTCTTTTCCTTGCTGGAGCCTAGATTTCTCCTACTACTTATTCTTTCTGCCTGCCAGCCCACTTATCCTTCTCCTGCCTAGTTATTGGCCCCTCAACTTTTTAGCAAGGTAAAACAAATACAGCACATCTTTACATAATTAAACAAAAGTAGCACAAAAAAATGTAACACATCCTTACATCGTTAAACAAAAGCATCACAAACAAAGGTAACACACCTTTACATCACTAACAAAGATAGTAGAAACAAATGTAACACACCTTCACAAAGTTAAAGTAATATTCTGCATGGTAAACAAACGAAACACATCTTTGACTAGTTAAAATAATATCCCACAACAGTGATCTCTGTGCCTGAGCCCATATTTTTATACAGTAGCAAATGCAGGCAACACAGTCATGCTTGCTGGCCAAAGCAACAGCTTCCAGCAAGTCTGGAACCAGAAGACAGCCTTCATCCAGAGTGAAAGGCTGTGAAAGATACCTTCTGCTGCTGTTTTGAGCCTCTCTCCTGGCTCCCTCTCTCCTGTCTGACACCTCCCACTCACCACACCCCCCTGATCTATAAGAGATACTGGGGAAGCATTACCTTCTCACCAGTCACACAGAAATCTGATCACATTAGCCTCAAGAGGTGTGAATTTTCTTCCTTGTGATGGAGGAAGATCCTGCCAATTGAAAACACTACCACTGGACCACAAAGGAAGGGGGATGGGTTTTCTCATAAACAGAAGCAGAAGGTGAGAGAGATAGGCCAGTGGACTGGAAAAACATAAAAGGTATACAAGCTGGGGCATTTTTCTGCTTTTCCTGCTGATTTACTGCCTATCCTCTGCCTGAACCATCATTTGGTATCATTCCCAGGGCTGGGCTATTGCAAGAGTATTGCCTTTTCGCAAAGCCAAGTAGCTAGTGATAATGGCATCATTCCTAGAAAAATTGTTTAGTGGAAGAGTTGTAGTGTTGGAAGTGGCATTGCAGTCTAGCAGTTCCCAACAGTCACAGATTGACTGGGATTTTCTGGCCAACAGCTGTAATAAAAGGAAGACAGGATATTCCTCTGAGGAAAAGATCATTCAAAGGCAACCTTGGAAACACTAAGCAGCCTCCTTCAGCTTAGAAACTAACAAAGCTAAAGACCAGAACAGTGACTCAGCAGAACCACAGAGAGCCCATATTCCTTTAACTTGTCCTTTTATTCAAGAACAAAAGGACATGTATCACGAATCAAAGGACAATAATTCTGAGACAAATAAGGTAAACCTCCCCTGTTTCATGCCATGGATCATTAATATAAGTGATTTGGCCCTAGGAGCTCATAGAATCAGATATATTTAATGGATTTTTAAAGGGACATGCAATTATATGGCCATTAATAATCTTATCCTCTGGAACTAAGTCAGCAGTAGGTAGTATCCGATCTCATACTTTAGGTGTCCAACCCTCCAATCAGAAATGTCTGACATGGATAGGCTACTGTCCTGTTGGTGGTTTGCTCCAAAGTCCTTTGTCAGAGAATTGATCTCAAAGACCTGCAAACTGTGTTACAGGGTAAATTCTTAGTTGTTGGGGAGAAATTCTGACATTTTTAAAGGATGGAAAATGTATCTACATTCCTCTGTTTCCAATGTAACACAAAAAAACATTTTAAGCTGGTAAAATAATCACCTATAGCTTCCTTTTATATTTGTGGACAGTATGGTTCAGAAATTATTTACAAAGTTGTACTAGTGGTTAGTGGCCTAGGATATATTGAAAAATATCTCCCAGTTTCTGCTGTTATGCCATTTTAGAATATAGCAAAGCATGTTAAGGTAATATTATATACCTCAGTTCTGCTGTAGCAAAAAGACAGAGAAAGGGGAGCGGGGAGAGACTATGATAACAGAAATGTAAGGACTGGCATTAGTAGAGACAAAATAAAGAGTTTTACTTCGTCATTGTCTTTTATTTTGTATTGCTGATTTTGAAAATGGGTTGGAGACACAGTAGATACCAAGTAGATTTGATTAACATAAAGTTTGTAGAAGGCATTGGCTGTTCCCAGATTTGTTGTTAGTTTGTTCTTGGTTACATGGCCACCCACAAGTTTAGCTTTATGTCTAAATTCTTGCTAAAGAGACATTAAAAAAAATAGACAACTTCCAGATTATCCACTTAAAAACAATGCAGACTTAACTTTTTTGGTTCTAGTTAATGATGGAAGCCTTATGCTGAGGATGGTAAAAAGAGCCCACATTAACCTAAATCCTGGAACTGAAATATATAAAAAGTATAAAAAGTAATTAGAAATTTTGAAAGCTTACTAATAAGAAATTTTGAACAGCTCTTTTATTTAAGCCAGTCTTCCAGAGTCCCTTTTATGTAACAGTATAAACTTTAAGTAAGGCAACTGTAACTTTTATCATGAGAAAAATTTCAGAAGTAAATCAAGAATGGGCTAGAGTGAGTACTTGTTGGTTTCACTTGCCCCTTTCATCTACATTCATTCAATTTAACCAACCCTAGAAAAACAATGTCTCCCACATTTACACGGAGCTGAGCTAAGGCTGTCTCCAGTGTTCCTTTCAACTTATGATCTAAGCTTACAAAATAGGCTTCATTCATTAGTATCACCAGCCCGTTGTGTATGTGGGCCATAGCAAAAGGCAACAGAACCAACAGAAGCCAAAGAAAGGTTGCTGCAGCTTGGCTATGTATGTTTCCCACATGCCTATGTGTCAAAGTCTTGGTATCAAAGTCTCATTACTGGGTGCTGGTAGAACTTTTGAGAGGTGAACTCTAGCTAGAGGTCTTTAGATCATAGGAAGAATACTGTTTAAAGGGACTGTGACTCTCTAATCCCTTTAT